TCTGGGAGGCAGTGGATGACAGGAGGGCCTGGCGTGCTCTGGTCCATGGGGTCACAAAGAGTCGGACACGACTTAATGACCAAAAAACAAATACATATAAAACATGTATGTAGGCACCTACTGGAAATAACAAAACAATGAATCAATTTCATGCTCCCTTGTTCTCAGCTTTGCTCCAAGCTGTGTGTGTGCCCTTAAGACTAGTTGGATGGAATCACCATCCTGGGTCTGGAGTGGGATGCCAGAGGAAACAAACATGATATATAACAGTTATTCTATCAAGATGTTGTGGTGATATACATTCAATTACTTTGCAGAACATTAAAGCCACAGTTAAGATCCCTAACAAAAGTAATAAAACAGCAGAAACAATTATCAACAGTAAAATGGTTAATAATTCAATGTTTATAATAAATTAAACAGCTTCTGGGCATGCTGAGGGAAGCTTTTGCTTTCTCCCTTCATTAGAAGGAAGGTGACAAGTGAACGAGTGATGGAACAAGCATGCGAGCAAGCAAGCAATGAATAAATAATTAAATAAATACAATTTCTCCCCCCTCGAATCTCCTGCCTCCTGGTCAATTAATCTCTATCATAAGGTAGTGCTGAAATGAGCAAATTTTACTAACATATTTTACACATATATTTCCAAACATTTCACTATATATTTTGAATGCATTCATTAGACTCTTTCCTGCAAATTTCCAAAATTTGCTAACACTGATGCCAGCAATATGATACAACACATTATTACCTGAAAATTGATAGTTGTTTTTCACAGTGTTATTGTTTTAAAAGATTGCAAATTTAAATATTTAAGGCAAACTTCTCTTTTTTTCTCCAAATTTCACATTTGTGCAAAATTGTTTTTTGCATTTGTTTTACAGCCCTGTCATTGGCTTGGGAATGTTCTGTCCACATCGGCTCTGATTTGGGAGAAATGGGAATAAAACTTCACCACTTAAATCTTTGGTAGTTATCACTAGTCCAGCAAACTGATATCAAAGGTGAGAAAGCTAATAAATAAAGAATTTAGCTTGGAAAAATTAAGTTTTGGACTATTGTGGTTTTTTCCGCCCCTCACAGGTATTTTCCCATGTATTCCTGGCTCTGCTACATATAGTCCACAAACAAGAAAAAAGCTATTGCACTATTGGTGTATTTGAAGATTTATTCAAAAACCCAGTTTGTTCTCTGCATAAAACCTCTAAAGTTTCTGTACCAGTCACACACAGACAGACTAAGAAAACTGGTGACTTTAATTCAATTATTCAGTGAACAGACAGAAGCACAAAAACAGTGAATAAGTTCAAATCTTATTACTAACTGCATTATTGTTGAAAAAAAAATACTTTTTTAATCACAGTTTCCCTTTAAACCTACTAATTGCTAGCAACTCTTTTCAGGTGGTGCCTTCTATCATGCTACATATCGGATTCTTTTACTGCCTATAGTAAACTCTTAAACTGGTATCGTCTATCGTCTATACAAACAGAGGGAGAATCACATTTCTGTGATATGTGTGACCTGCATTCTGTGTATAGCCCAGTAGTCAGGCTAAGTACAGTGGAAGGCGAGATGTATACTTACAGCAAACAGAGGGCGTATGCTGAGGGGATAGATTCACTGGCCCGCACAAGGAAGCTGCCATCCTTGCCTACTTTAGAAAGCAGGTCCTCAGCTCTTGAACGGGTTATGGTTCCATGATACCAGCACTGGTCCATGTCTCGATTCATGGGGCAGAACCCTGCCCCCCCAAATAAAATAAAAACAAATATGAATTTACAATCACAATAATCACCCTCCGGCAATTATGTAGAGATCTCAGAGCTGTCTCTCTGTAGCAGCTGCTGCTCACTCAGCTTCCTGTTTTAATGGTGCAGAGAGAAAGGAAACAGAGCTGAGAACTTCCTCATAGAAATCAGCAACTCAGAGTGAGAAGGACTTGCCACGCACACGTCCCCATTCACTCTTTGTGTGACCCATATCTATCCTAGTCCTTCCTTACCAGCTTTGCATAAATGTGGTGGGCACAGTTTATACATTCAGTGCAGTGAGTAAAAATAGATCATTCTTTGTTTCCTTCCACACAGCTCCACTTTGTCTGTGTGCTTTCTGTTGTACCTGGTTTGCCAAACAAGCATTTGTTAATGCTTTAGTACAACCTAGTTCTCAACCTTGGGTTTCCAGATGTTTTTGGATTACAATGCTCAGTAATCTTGGCCAGCAGAGCTAGTGATGGAGATTTCTGGGAGTTTTTGTCAAAGAACTTAGAGAACCATAGAAAAGTGAAGTTGGAAGGGGCCTAAAAGGCCATCAAGTCTAACCCCCTGCTCAATGCAGGAATACAATCAAAGCATATCTGCCAGGTGATTATCTAAGTTTTTCTTGAATGCCTCCAGTGTTGGAACAGTCACCAACTTCAGAGATAATTGGTTCCACTATTGTACTGCTCTAACAGTTAGGTTTTCCTGGTATTCAACCCAAATCTGGTTTCCTTTAACCTGAGCCTATTGTCGCATGTCCTGTACTCTGGGATGATCAAGAACA